TTTAAAATAGAAATAGAGGGGACAAGGGATATTAATGTTATTAGATATTTCCAATTTGCACTTCAACAGAGCTTGTACATATGAAGCTTGGTGCAAACTCAGAATGTTGCTTTTCGAGAGATTAATAGATTTGTCCTGTGTGGTTTCTTGAGGTCGGGAAAACTGGCACCGTCCTTACTGTCACCCCCTCTACTGTCTGTGTGTTGATCTATATGCCAGCAACATGATGGTAACAGGTACACAATCAAGTCTGGCCCAGACACAGTAGAGATTGATGTCAGAAGCAACATTCACGCAGTCAGGGTACAATGACATACAATCAACTAGTTTCTTGAGGTCGGGAAAACTGGCACCATCCTTACTGTCACCCCCTCTACTGTCTGTGTGTTGATCTATATGCCAGCAATATGGTAACAGGTACACAACCAAGTCTGGCCCAGACACAGTAGAGATTGATGTCAGAAGCAACAATCCACGCAGTCAGGATACAATGACATACACTCAACTAGTTTCTTGAGGTCGGGACAACTGGCACCGTCCTTACTGTCACCCCCTCTACTGTCTGTGTGTTGATCTATATGCCAGCAATATGATGGTAACAAGTACACAACCAAGTCTGGCCCAGACACAGTAGTGATTGATGTCAGAAGCAACAATCCACAAAGTCAGGGTACAATGACATACACTCAACCAAGTCACAGCCTGACTATCTGATCCATGGGATGGGCTGATGAGGACCTATTCTAACCCAGAATCCCACAAGGACCTTCCTCTATTTGCCAGGACTGGGGTACAGTCGGTTATAGGAAGAAAGATGACATCTCTTTCTAATTTCTGTGACAGTCTCATCCAACAGCAGGCAAGATTTATCCATTTCTATCAGTCTCAAGTTACAGTTCAGTCTAGAATCCTTATCAGCCTGGATGAGACAAAACTAAAAGGCACTAATATTCAAGAGGTGGCTCTAACACTCTGAGCCCAACTACAAGGATGTATTGTACACTCACATAAGCGTTAAATACAATACTTCCCAATCTTACAGGATGCATTTAAATCCAATTGCACAACCATGCAGCAAAATTCAAATTTCTTTAAAGTAACTAGGTATTCTCTGTTGAAAAAATGGACAATTTGTGTCACCTCATTGTCATAAGGTATCTCCTGAAAGGGCTATCTCCAACAGCCATGCATGCGGACATGGTGTCAAGTTTTAAATGGACAAATTGTGTCACCTCATTGTCATCAAGTATCTCCAGGTGAATTTTTAAAGGGCTATCTCCAACAGCCATCCATATGGACATGGTGTCAAGTTTAGGGAGTGATGCTTCTTCCTTTGCCACTGTTAAGAGATGGGCAGCAGAGTTGAAGAAGGTGAAGAGAGTGCCAAGATTATCAAAGAACAGGAAGACCTTCAACAGCCACCACTGACGAAATGTTGATAAAATGTTGATATGATTATGGACGATCAACAAATTACCACACGTCACATTGCCATTACAGTAGAAATGCCTCTTGAGAGAGTTAAGAATTCCTGAAGAATGAACTGGGCATGACAAAGATTTTAGGACACTGAGTTCAAAGGCTTCTGATTCCTGATCACAAATACTCCAGGTGTATCACCTCTTGTGAGAATTTACATCATTTTGAAGCAGACCCAGCTGATTTTGATGGTTGCAATGTATGACTTTTGCCTTGAACTCATGAACATCCTCCGTTTTCATCATCATTTTTCCACCTCTTCCCAAACTTGAAGAAAGAACTGTCTGGCAAGCATTATACAAATGCTGTAGGCTGGGACAGGTAACATGGGTACTCGGGTCGGTCCTGAGAAGGACCCTGGTATGCACAGGACTACCTGGACCCGTGGTTAGTCATGTGATATTTTGTTTAATGACAAAAATGATCTAGAACTCCATGGCTACACTACAAGTCACATATGTTCGCATTTCTTTCTGACTATGCACCAATCTTTCTGACTCTTACATGTTTGAATAAAGATAAATATTCAGTCAACTTCTGTGTCTGTGTAGCATTGCATGGAGGCATCCCACAGATGACATCCTTACCTTGTCAGCTGGCTGACGGGGTTAACCTCTTTGGTCATGTGGACAAGGCGTCCGACCTCGGTCAGAAGGTCCGTGGTTCGAATCCCATCACGGGACTCAGAAATTTAATGGCCGCTACATCTGCATGACCAGATTGTTTTATACAAGTATCTAAATACAGTTTGTCCAGGGCTATCTCTTGAGACCTGAAGTAGGGTCGGGTAACAGGGGGTGGGTTCCCAGGTGGTAAATTTGGACTTGTCCCAGCCCTAAAATGATGATGATGTCATTCTGATGTGGAGGAGGAAGCCTTTCACACGAGGCACTCCAGAAACTTTAGCAAAAGCGTATGGACCTTGGAGGGATTTACTTGAAAAATAATTGACCAGCTACATCAACGTAGTCAATCAAGTTAGGCTCTGAACTTTTCAGCCACCTTTGTGTCTTTTCTGTACTCATGTGAAGCAATCTTATAGGTCCATTGCCCGTTATGTACTGAGAACATAATAACAAAATCAGGTCAGAAAAGAATTACCAATATGAGCATACAAAAAGATGTCGGAATTCATTTTTGAAAATGTACAAACATCTGCACTGCATCAAAACACAAACTTCAAACTTTTTTCGTATTGTTCTCTTGAGGACAGAAGACTTGTCAGATACTATTTCTCGGATATTGATGATGATGTCTCAGCATAGCAAGTCTCACATACTGATAGTGTTTTTCAAATGAAAGATGTCAGTCACCAACAAAATCAAGTCTCACTGTATTATTTTATTTCCTAAGTCTTATGCATTGAAGCATGTCATTTTCAGATGGCTTCCAAAAAAGTTCAAATCCATTTGGAAATCAGTCTTTTTAGGATTTTCCTCCTCTAAAAAATGCTTGATTTTTAAAGATTTTTAAAGTCATTGTCCATTCATATTCTGTGGTGAAATATTCTCATTGACAGATGTCGTATATTTTACCTGAAATGATAACATGTAGTGACTAACGGGGAAATGCATGTTTCCTCAGAACAAACTGACATGAAATACATATCCCAAATGCAAGGAAGCAAAAATTCTGAATTTCATTACAAAAGTACCTCTGTTTAAAGATAATATATGATTTATATACAGCTGATGGGAACATTTGTCAAGAGGGAAAATTTGTATAAGAGGCCCCTTTGTCTAATGTGCAATCTTTGTTGTATAGCATTAAAAATTGTAATACCAACATTTCAAAAAGTTTTGTGATAAAACGTGAAACAATGAAAGAAGTTATCACACACAGGAAGTACAGACATACACAAAGAAACAGACACAGTGAGTGAGTGAGTCGGGTTTAACGCCGCTTTTAACAGTATTCCAGTTATATCGCGGCGTGTCAGCTTAATGTGGGAGGAAAGCCCAAAGTGATGCAGGTCTCAGACGTTTACCACTTCGGTGAAACCCACGAGCATGGATATGGTGCTGACAAACCTAGAAACATAATCGGGGCGAACCGGGATTCAAACCCACAATCATAGGTTTCTAGCGTTCCCAAGGGACGCAACTCTGCACAGCGAACCACGGTGCCCTAGACGACTGGGCCACCCGTGCCCCCGCTACCATTTAAACCACAATAGCAACCTCATATGTTGAAAAAACAACAGATCGAAGATAATCATTCCTGAATATGGCCTTGCTGCCGCAAATATATTCCATCAAATTTTCCAGATATAGATCCATGGCATTTATGTGCCACTCAGACAAAAGCCGGACTACATATGAACTATTTCTGACAACTGACATTCATTTGAATTAAAAATTTACCATACTGTCATTTTTATCTAAAATTACATGGAATCGATGTAACATGCAGTCAAGACGATCATGAACAATCTACAGTCACATTAGGTAGGATATTTTATTGATGTTTTTCCAATATCTCCGCCTGGGTTTCACAAATGGGGTCTGCCCATGCATCTTGTGTTGACCGGTGGGTGGACAAAGGTCATTTATTCACATTAGTTCCTGTCTGGTTTGTCATCAGCCTCTTCAGAACACAGCAAGTGCCAGACATCGTTATCATTAACCAAAATTTGTAGATCAGTTGTTACTTCAGTAAAAGTAATTTTGCCCTGATTGCCTAAACATTTAGTAATTACCCTTGACCTAAAATGCAAAATATCCATTTGTACCAATGTAGACAGTAAAAAGCAAAGGGAAGCTTTTTAGTTCAATGAGTTGAAGTGGAATATAGTTTTATTGTCTCTCTAGTTTTTGGTGATATGTCTTTAGGGAGAATGCTTTGAGAGTCCAGTTGGAATAGATATACATTCACTTTACTTAGAGTAATTGACATTGGCTCTTCCAGGCAACAGATACATGTGTGTAATACACCTATTTCTTCCATCAGTCTGTGAATGTGGCAGCCAATTGTCTACAGGTTGGATACAAATCTCAGTACTGGACAAGAAAAAGATTTACTTGTGTCAGTGGGTTGTGTCAGGATGGTGGTTTGAGGAAGGTGGTTTGAGTGGTTTGAGTGGTTTGAGGAAGGTGGTTTAAGTGGTTTGAGGAAGGTGGTTTAAGTGGTTACAGGAAGGTGGTTTGAGTGGTTTGAGGAAGGTGGTTTGAGTAGTGTCAGGAAGGTGGTTGGAGTGGTGTCAGGAAGGAGGTTTAAGTGGTGTCAGGAAGGTGGTTTGAGTGGTGTCAGGAAGGTGGTTTGAGTAGTGTCAGGAAGGTGGTTTGAGTGGTGTCAGGAAGGTGGTTTAAGTGATGTCAGGAAGGTGGTTTGAGTGGTTTGAGGAAGGTGGTTGGAGTGGTTTGAGGAAGGAGGTTTGAGTGGTGTCAGGAAGGTGGTTTGAGTGGTGTCAGGAAGGTGGTTTGAGTAGTGTCAGGAAGGTGGTTTGAGTGGTGTCAGGAAGGTGGTTTAAGTGATGTCAGGAAGGTGGTTGGAGTGGTGTCAGGAAGGTGGTTTGAGTGGTGTCAGGAAGGTGGTTTGAGTGGTGTCAGGATGGTGGTTTGATTGGTGTCAGGAAGGTGGTTTGAGTGGTTCAGTGTGGAAGATAGGGAGAGGATGTAAGATGGTGGAAGATGGGCAGAGGGTGTAGGAGGCTTGAAGATGGGGAGAGGGTGTAGGGGGCTGGAAGATGGAGAGAGGGTGTAGGGGGCTGGAAGATGGGGAGAGGATGTAGGAGGCTGGAAGATGGGGAGAGGGTGTAGGAGGCTGGAAGATGGGGAGAGGGTGTAGGAGGCTGGAAGATGGGGAGAGGGTGTAGGGGCTGGAAGATGGGGAGAGGATGTAGGAGGCTGGAAGATGGGGAGAGGGTGTAGGAGGCTGGAAGATGGGGAGAGGGTGTAGGGGGCTGGAAGATGGGCAGAGGGTGTAGGGGGGTGAAAGATGGGGAGAGGGTGTAGGGGGGTGAAAGATGGGCAGAGGGTGTAGGGGCTGGAAGATGGGGAGAGGGTGTAGGGGGCTGGAAGATGGGGAGAGGGTGTAGGGGGCTGGAAGATGGGCAGAGGGTGTAGGGAAGATGGGGAGAGGGTGTAGGAGGCTGGAAGATGGGGAGAGGGTGTAGGGGGCTGGAAGATGGGGAGAGGGTGTAGGGGGCTGGAAGATGGGCAGAGGGTGTAGGGAAGATGGGCAGAGGGTGTAGGGGGCTGGAAGATGGGGAGAGGGTGTAGGGGGCTGGAAGATGGGCAGAGGGTGTAGGGAAGATGGGGAGAGGGTGTAGGGGGCTGGAAGATGGGCAGAGGGTGTAGGGGGCTGGAAGATGGGGAGAGGGTGTAGGAGGCTGGAAGATGGGGAGAGGGTGTAGGGGGGTGAAAGATGGGGAGAGGGTGTAGGGGGGTGAAAGATGGGCAGAGGGTGTAGGAGGCTGGAAGATGGGGAGAGGGTGTAGGGGCTGGAAGATGGGCAGAGGGTGTAGGGGGCTGGAAGATGGGCAGAGGGTGTAGGGGGGTGAAAGATGGGGAGAGGGTGTAGGGGGCTGGAAGATGGGCAGAGGGTGTAGGGGCTGGAAGATGGGGAGAGGGTGTAGGGGGCTGGAAGATGGGGAGAGGGTGTAGGGGGCTGGAAGATGGGCAGAGGGTGTAGGGGACTGGAAGATGGGGAGAGGGTGTAGGGGGCTGGAAGATGGGGAGAGGGTGTAGGGGCTGGAAGATGGGGAGAGGGTGTAGGGGGCTGGAAGATGGGGAGAGGGTGTAGGGGCTGGAAGATGGGCAGAGGGTGTAGGGGGCTGGAAGATGGGGAGAGGGTGTAGGGGCTGGAAGATGGGGAGAGGATGTAGGAGGCTGGAAGATGGGGAGAGGGTGTAGGAGGCTTGAAGATGGGCAGAGGGTGTAGGAGGCTGGAAGATGGTGAGAGGGTGTAGGAGGCTGGAAGATGGGGAGAGGGTGTAGGGGCTGGAAGATGGGCAGAGGGTGTAGGGGGCTGGAAGATGGGGAGAGGGTGTAGGAGGCTGGAAGATGGGGAGAGGGTTTAGGGGGCTGGAAGATGGGCAGAGGGTGTAGGGGGGTGAAAGATGGGGAGAGGGTGTAGGGGGGTGAAAGATGGGCAGAGGGTGTAGGGGCTGGAAGATGGGGAGAGGGTGTAGGGGGCTGGAAGATGGGGAGAGGGTGTAGGGGGCTGGAAGATGGGCAGAGGGTGTAGGGAAGATGGGGAGAGGGTGTAGGGGGCTGGAAGATGGGCAGAGGGTGTAGGGGGCTGGAAGATGGGGAGAGGGTGTAGGAGGCTGGAAGATGGGGAGAGGGTGTAGGGGGCTGGAAGATGGGCAGAGGGTGTAGGGGGGTGAAAGATGGGGAGAGGGTGTAGGGGGGTGAAAGATGGGCAGAGGGTGTAGGGGCTGGAAGATGGGGAGAGGGTGTAGGGGGCTGGAAGATGGGGAGAGGGTGTAGGGGGCTGGAAGATGGGCAGAGGGTGTAGGGAAGATGGGGAGAGGGTGTAGGGGGCTGGAAGATGGGGAGAGGGTGTAGGGGCTGGAAGATGGGCAGAGGGTGTAGGGGGCTGGAAGATGGGCAGAGAGTGTAGGAGGCTGGAAGATGGGGAGAGGGTGTAGGGGGGTGAAAGATGGGGAGAGGGTGTAGGGGGTGAAAGATTGGCAGAGGGTGTAGGAGGCTGGAAGATGGGGAGAGGGTGTAGGGGCTGGAAGATGGGCAGAGGGTGTAGGGGGCTGGAAGATGGGCAGAGGGTGTAGGGGGGTGAAAGATGGGGAGAGGGTGTAGGGGGGTGAAAGATGGGCAGAGGGTGTAGGGGCTGGAAGATGGGGAGAGGGTGTAGGGGGCTGGAAGATGGGGAGAGGGTGTAGGGGGCTGGAAGATGGGCAGAGGGTGTAGGGGACTGGAAGATGGGGAGAGGGTGTAGGGGGCTGGAAGATGGGGAGAGGGTGTAGGGGCTGGAAGATATGGAGAGGGTGTAGGGGGCTGGAAGATGGGGAGAGGGTGTAGGGGCTGGAAGATGGGGAGAGGGTGTAGGGGGCTGGAAGATGGGGAGAGGGTGTAGGGGCTGGAAGATGGGCAGAGGGTGTAGGGGGCTGGAAGATGGGCAGAGGGTGTAGGAGGCTGGAAGATGGGGAGAGGGTGTAGGGGGCTGGAAGATGGGGAGAGGGTGTAGGGGCTGGAAGATGGGCAGAGGGTGTAGGGGCTGGAAGATGGGCAGAGGGTGTAGGGGCTGGAAGATGGGCAGAGGGTGTAGGGGCTGGAAGATGGGGAGAGGGTGTAGGGGCTGGAAGATGGGCAGAGGGTGTAGGGGGCTGGAAGATGGGCAGAGGGTGTAGGAGGCTGGAAGATGGGGAGAGGGTGTAGGGGCTGGAAGATGGGGAGAGGGTGTAGGGGCTGGAAGATGGAGAGAGGGTGTAGGGGCTGGAAGATGGGCAGAGGGTGTAGGGGCTGGAAGATGGGGAGAGGGTGTAGGGGGCTGTAAGATGGGGAGAGGGTGTTGGGGCTGGAAGATGGGCAGAGGGTGTAGGAGGCTGGAAGATAGGGAGAGGATGTAGGGGGCTGTAAGATGGGGAGAGGGTGTTGGGGCTGGAAGATGGGGAGAGGGTGTAGGGGGCTGTAAGATGGGGAGAGGGTGTAGGGGGCTGGAAGATGGGGAGAGGGTGTAGGGGGCTGGAAGATGGGGAGAGGGTGTAGGAGGCTGGAAGATGGGGAGAGGGTGTAAGATGGTGGAAGATGGGGAGAGGGTGTAGGAGGCTGGAAGATGGGGAGAGGGTGTAGGGGGCTGGAAGATGGGGAGAGGGTGTAGGAGGCTGGAAGATGGGCAGAGGGTGTAGGAGGCTGGAAGATGGGCAGAGGGTGTAGGAGGCTGGAAGATGGGGAGAGGGTGTAGGGGGCTGGAAGATGGGGAGAGGGTGTAGGGGGCTGGAAGATGGGCAGAGGGTGTTGGGGCTGGAAGATGGGCAGAGGGTGTAGGAGGCTGGAAGATGGGGAGAGGGTGTAGGGGGCTGGAAGATGGGGAGAGGGTGTAGGGGGCTGGAAGATGGGGAGAGGATGTAGGAGGCTGGAAGATGGGGAGAGGGTGTAGGGGGCTGGAAGATGGGCAGAGGGTGTAAGATGGTGGAAGATGGGGAGAGGGTGTAGGAGGCTGGAAGATGGGGAGAGGGTGTAGGGGGCTGGAAGATGGGCAGAGGGTGTAGGGGGCTGGAAGATGGGGAGAGGGCGTAGGGGGCTGGAAGATGGGCAGAGGGTGTAAGATGGTGGAAGATGGGGAGAGGGTGTAGGAGGCTGGAAGATGGGGAGAGGGTGTAGGGGGCTGGAAGATGGGGAGAGGGTGTAGGAGCTGGAAGATGGGCAGAGGGTGTAGGGGGCTGTAAGATGGGGAGGTAGTCAGGTTGGCGAGATTGTCAGCTGTGACTTGATTTAGTGTGTCACTGGTACAACTCGATGCTCACACTATTGATCACTTGTTGATCAGTTACAGACAGTAAGCTCCACAGGCTGCTGTGATACACATAGAATATTGCTGACTACAGAATAAATGTCTATTCTTCAGTTGCTCATGCAATCAAGTGTTGGAAGTGAATTAAGGTTCCCCAGATCATATTGGAGAATACATTATCAACTTACATCTGTCTGATAATAAAGTTCACTCATCATGCTTATATCAACATTGTCTGGGAAATAGATATTGGGTTAGATGGCATACCTGCCAAGTAAACAAACAGATTGTATTCTTGGCTTATTGTATGTAAGCCCTCTTGTAGGTTCAGCTGAAGAACGGGGAGAGGATGGAGAGCAATTGGGCTCTGTAGCTTACCTTCATTGTTGGGTTTTTGCAACATTCTATAATTTTCAGTGTAATAAAAGTCAATCACTGGATTGTCTGGTCCAGACTTGATTATTTTCAGACCGCCATCATATAGCTGGAATATTGCTGAGTGACTCGTTAACAAAAAACAAACAGTGTACGAAAAATATATATTTCAAAGGCCCACTTTCTCAGTGTTAGAACACCCATAGACATTGTCGTCAGGTTGTGGTGGTGTGGGTATGGTGGTGTGTGTGGGCATGGTGGTGTGTGTGGGCATGGTGGTGTATGTGGGCATGGTGGTGTGTGTGGGCATGGTGGTGTGTGTGGGCATGGTGGTGTGAGTGGGCATGGTGGTGTGAGTGGGCATGGTGGTGTGTGTGGGCATGGTGGTGTGTGTGGGCATGGTGGTGTGTGTGGACATGGTGGTATGTGTGGGCATGGTGGGGTGTGTGGGCATGGTGGTTTGTGTGGGCATGGTGGTGTGTGTGGGCATGATGGTGTGTGTGGGCATGGTGGTGTATGTGGGCATGGTGGTATGTAGGCATGGTGGTGTGAGTGGGCATGGTGGTGTGTGTGGGCATGGTGGTGTGAGTGGGCATGGTGGTGTGTGTGGGCATGGTGGTGTATGTGGGCATGGTGGTGTGAGTTGGCATGGTGGTGTGTGTGGGCATGGTGGTGTGTGTGGGCATGGTGGTTGGCGTGAGGTATGGTTTGGGTCACCATTTCAAAAGATGAGGTTTTTTTCTCTGAAAGAAGGTGCAAAACTTTTTGACTTTTGTTCACAGAACATTTCATTTCATGACATTGAGTATGTTTAGTGAACATTTTCAACGGATAAAAACTGAATACCACATTTTTTATAGTATTTTTTTTTAAATCCCGGCTCTCCAAGAATATAATTTGTCTCTCTCTTAGGATACATGGTTTGTCATCAGGGACGATGTCTTATATGTAATATTTTTACAGTTAACATTTTGTTAGAAGCCCATGTGAATGAGACAGCCTAACTTTGAAAAGCCATAGAAAGATTTCTTCACTTAATAGAAAAAGCAAAATAACCAGAGGTTATTTCATTTTACCTTTTACTTATCTGCCCAAAATGTTTTTACTTGGCCTTAGCATTGAGTAGGTATATACTAAACTTATGAAAGTTTTTATAACCTTGGCCTGTGACCTCACGACATGGGCCAAAAGAATTCACACGGCCAGTTTGAGTGAGAGAGTGAGTGAGTGAGTTGGATTTATCGCCACTTTTAACAGTATTCCAGTTATATCACAGCATGTCAGCTTAATGTGGGAGGAAAGCCAAAAGTTATGCAGGCCTCAGACGTTTACCACTTAGTGAAACCCATGAGCATCGGTATGGTGCTAACAAACCTAGAAACATAATCGAGGCAAACCAGGATTCGAACCCACAATCATAGGTTTCTAGCATGCCCAAGGGACGCAACTCTGCAGAGCAAATCGTGGCGCCTAAGATGACTGGGTTATTGGAAGAATTTGTAATCACCACAATCAAGAGAAAAATAGTTTTAGTGTATAAGCTTGACTGTCATTACATTATTATATTGCTACAACACAGATGATGCTTCCAGGGCCCACTTGCACAAAGCGATCTTACCGCTAAGATGATCGTAACTCCCATACTTTAACATAAGCTTACAATAGTCGTAGCGCTAAGATCGCTTTGTGCAAGTGGGCCCTGGTAATCAGAAATTAAATTCTTTACAGATACAAACTAATTGAAATTTAAAAAAAAAAATTCTTCAAGTTTTATGTCTTCGAGTATTTATTTTAAAAATTTAGGCCCTTCAGTCTCAATCAGGTTACACAACAGGATTTAATTGCTAAATGTCATGATAGTAGGGTACATACATAACTGGTTTCCATACGTGTAATAGCTTGTGTGAAATCAAGAACTTCCTTCTCCAGGGAGAGATCACATTCCTGATCACAAAGTCAAGTGAGATTAAGATTTAAATGTTCAAATCAAATACCTATTTTAGAATTCTTGTACTCAACAACTCCATGGAGATTCTGGGTTAGAATAGCATCCTCTGCTGGCCCAAGAGGAGATTTAATGCATGAGATGGTCAGGCTCAGTAACTTGATTGACAGTGAAGTCATTGTACGCCAACGCAAGCAGCACCCACGCATGTACAAGAGTTATAATCTTGAATGTGAAGTCAGGCCACAAAGTTGCGACTAAAACGGTAGCCAATTCAACCTAAGTTTCAATTTATCTACTGTCTAAAATTCAGAAGTAGCTAAATGACTACCTAGAAAAATATCTTGTGGCAACTAACTTCTATTGCTACACATAGGTAGACACCAAAATAAATTAAAGTTGATCTTGGAAGACACTGTTAATAATTGTACTTGCAAATAATTCCTCCTAAAGCAGAGATGACAATGAACCCAAATACAGAAATATTAATGTAATTGGTATTTTATTTCAGTTGACAGTGCTCATTGGATAAGCAAGGATATACCTCTATAATCTTGTAACATAAATTGCATCATTGTTTGAATCACAAGTAACAAAAATCAAGTACAGTTTCCACTAATATACAATTCCAAGACCAGTGCTATGACATGTACATATTATAATAGTTATTTGAAAAAAGGTTATTTCAAACACATTGGGCTACCCACAATATTGGCTTGACTTCTTTATTTTCCCACTGGCTACCTAAAAAAAATATGCTTGTAGCCATGTTGCGACTTAGTAAAAATTTAAACTTTGAGGCCTGGAAGTTAAACCCTATTTCAATTAACTTTACACTAGTTTGTCAAATGACACTGATACAGTAGCATGCGATTACTTATTTAATTTTTTTTATTCAATACTAAATCATATGACTCCATTATAATTTGGTGAGTGAGTGAGTATGGTTTTACGCCACTTTTAGCAATATTTCATCGGAGGATACCAGAAATAGGCTTCACACATTGTACCCATGTGGGGAATTGAACCCGGGTCTTCGGCGTGATGAGCAAATGCTTTAACCATTAGGCTACCCAACTGCCCCTTGTGATGATGATGATGATGATGATGATGATGATGAATTATAATTGAAACCTGGTGAAGAAAACATGGCTGTAAAATTAATACTTACTTACTCACAATCACTTTCACTCTCCTACCCAGAGTTCCATGCATCTGGCAGCCAGCCAGCATAATACCTCTGCCACAGGCCAGCGCCATGTGATGATTCATCACATCTTTCACGGTCCAATCAAGATATTGAATGTGCTTTTAATCCGTTTCATGTTTGACAAGTCTACACATTTTCATAAGCAAATGTCAAAGAATGGTAATGGTTCTTCAAGAAAGTATCCTAATACGTGAAAATCTACTTGTTTTTGCATAGTTATCCTTTGTTTACATTGGTTGTACGGCTCCACGTGCTGTCATCAAAGCCCAACGGAGAGTTAGCGATACGGTCACTTTGATGTATAAATATATATTGTCATGAAATTCACTGTTGCAGTTGTAGTAGCATATCTATATAATTATGCAAAACAATATGTTATGCGCCCCAAAATACTTGCATTAGTCCGTTCTATACTGATTTCTGAAAAAGCGTGTTTGTTTACAAACAAGAGAAATGTCTGGTCACGTGATATGCAAATTAGCCTGTGGCATCGGTGTTATGCTGAGTCACCACTGCGCTGGAGTGTGACTCACTTTATCCCACCATCCTATTAGGTAAGTGAGTGAGTTTGGTTTTACGCTGCTTTTAGCAATATTCCAGCAATATCATGGCGGAGGACTCCCATTAGGTGAAAAATAATACCTATGCCAGTATGCCTACAACGGTATGCACAATTTACAGCAGCCTGTCATCTGTCACAAGGTGAGCTAAAATTGGGGTCATTTAGTACACACTGTTTGTCTTCAAACAGATGATAACAAGCCATGTGTCTGGACTTTCTCAACATCTGAGGATCGCAAGTTTATAATCAAACCAAGCTAATGTATGTACAACATGCCCTTTGATATCGGGATTTAATGCCCCTGTTTATACCTGCAGCATATCCCCTATAGACCAATATAGACACATTCAGCAGTAAACTTAGATAACTCAACGCACAGAAGTAACAGCACAGCAAAGTGGGGAGTTTGGAGACTAATCAGCGTTTATTACAAACTTCAGTGTGAAAGACTGAGTTTTCTGAAGTTGTAAAAAGTGAACATAACACTTGATATCTCACTGCAGTGAACATAACACTTTGACAGAACTATTGTCATACAAGAGTTACCTCCCCTCAAATTGTCTCCCTTTATTGTAAGTGTCTATCCCGTCCACACACTGTTGACGTCCATTTAACGCTAATTCCACATTGACAAGGCAAAATAATGACAGATGGTCATTGATGGAGTTAATATCACTTCTTGCTGTTTGTTATAAACTGTAAATTTCTCATTTAACTTGCCAATTGAGATTGTTCATTTCGCACAGCGCCATTTTTGTAACTTGATCAGGTGGCCTTGTGGTTAAAGATTTTGCTTGTCACGCAGAAGACGCGGGTTTAATTCCCGACATGGGTACATTGTGTGAAGCCCATTTCAGGTGTCCCCCGCTATGATATTGCTGGAATATTGCAAAAAAGCAGCGTAAAACAATACTCACCTACTTGAGCTTACACGTAACTGTATTTCATGGACTACATGTGCATGTTAATTCAGCTCCAAGCTAACTCAGTGAGGTATTTGTCATGTTTGCTGTGCCTGAAGTTAATATACACAAACAACCCCCTCATCAACAAGGGGTGTCCAATCTAATCTGGAGCATTGTGAGGTGAGGTGAGGTGAAATGGGGTTTAACGTCGCGTCCAAGATTATTGCACTTATATAGCGACGTGCATGTACGTGTGTGTGTTTGTGTTGCTGCTTGTACTAGTCCGGACTGATGTCGATTTATAGTGCTAGCTCACTGAGATACCATGCCTCAGTTTAACATGAATACCCCACTCAGACACAGCATACTGACTCCAAGCCGACCAGTCCTTGTTTTAGCCCCTTGA